AGCTCTTAATTTGTGTAAATAAACTATCCATCCTCATGTAACAGAATTTAAATACCATTACATAACCTTCTGGAAAAAGGATATAAATTGGCTCTTTTTAAAGATGCAGATAACAAATTTTGAAATTTTAAACTTAAATTCCATCCCTTTATGGCAAACCATCCATCGTGAGGCATAAAAGTACTTAATTATCAGACAAGGACATGAATTTTATAAGAAAAAGAAGGAATAGCAGCACTTTTTATTATTGTTGACATAAGTTTTAGTAACAAGACTATTGTAGAGCTTTCAATTTGTGTAAAATTATCCACCCTGAGTTACCAAAAGAACAGAATTTTAATGCTGGTACATAAAAGACGTACTGTTTACTTGGATGAACACTGGATCAAAGATCTGATGGCTGGCGAATAAATCATACAGATTTTTATCTCCATGTAGACTACTAGCAGTTGCTTTCTCAAGTCGAGTGTCAAACATTTCAGCCACATTTAAGACGTTTACATAATAGTATTTAATCAATTGGCTAGGTTCTGTGGGAATTGAGAGTCGAAAGGGACAACAGAAAAAAAGTTAAATGAGTTTTGCACTGCCTGAAGACTGCATAATGGATGTAATGAATGTTCACATTTCAATCAGACATTATTGTGTATAAAACAGACACCCTTCCCCAATAAAAGACTGGATAAGTTTAAGTGACTATAATCCTATACTCATGTAACTCTTGCTTGTGTAAACAGTATGAATTGGTTGCCCTTTTCCTTAAAACTTCACAGCCTAGAACTTTTTTGTTCTTTGATTAGTTTTAAAGCAAGACCTTTAATATTTTCTTAATCATGCCATGATCCCATCAATGCATAACATATTAAATCATTTAATTTATACCATGTTTATAATAGCAATTGTTTTATTTGTCTTGATGAATATTCAAACAGAAGAGGTAAATCACAGAAGCCTATTTTTGGTTCGCTTAGCTTAATCAGTAGTGGACCAAGGAACTATAAAAAGGGGGTTGGTAACATGTAAATAAGGGGAGGAGGAATTAGCCAAACCTTCTATTATACTAAATACTGACATTTAAGAATGTGAGCGTTTAAATAGTGAGCTCACGTCCCTAAAAATGTTTTTACGTGCAACAATAGGCGAGAAAGAACTAAATGGATAAGTACTGATACACGTGTATTATATATTTACACTTAGACTTTGATATGATAGTTTACACTTTTACCTCACAAGCATCGAAAAAAAATGATGACGATGATGATGATGAATTGTTGTTTATTTAACTTCCATTGGCAAAATGAATACATAGTCATGAAGAGAACATGATAATTTGACATGATGAGAATATGAACCCTGCTTTGTACTGAACTGACAAGCTGAGCCTGATTCTTAATGTGCAATCAAGGGGGTACACTACCAAAAGACAATGAGGCGTAAAAAAAAAATCAAATGAGAATTAATTTTGTAAACCATGTGTTACCATTTGCTTTGCTAGTTCCTATAATGAAGGCTTCAATCAATAGATGCTATCTATTGCAGTTGGAAACAAATCTTATTCAATGAATTTTTATACGACCGCAAAAATTAGAATTTTTTTGGTCGTATATTGGTATGACGTTGGCGTCGTCCAGCGTCGTCCGAAGACACATTGGTTTTCGCTCTCTAACTTTAGTTTAAGTGAATGGATCTCCATGAAATTTTACCATAAGGTTCAATACCACGAAAGGAAGGTTGGGATTGATTTTGGGGGTTATGGTATTAACAGTTAAGGAATTAAGGGCCAAAAAGGGGCCAAAAATAAGCATTTTTGTAACTTCCAGACAATAACTTGTGTGTAAGTATATAGATCTCTCTGACATTGTACCACAAGGTTCCATATCACAAAGGGAAGGCTGTAATTGATTTTGGGGGGTAATTGCCTCAAAATTTTAGGAATTAGGGGCCAAAAAAGGGGCAAAAAACAAGCATTTTTCTAGTTTCATGACAATAACTTGTGTGTAAGTGTTTGGATATTTCTGAAATTGTACTACAAGGTTCCATATCACAAAGGGAAAGCTGGAATTGAGTTTGGGGGTAATTGCACGAAACGTTTAGGAATTGGGGGCCAAAAAGGGGCCAAAAATAAGCATTTTTCTAGTTTCCGGACAATAACTTGTGTTCAAGTGTATAGATCTCTCTGAAATTGTACTGCAAGGTACCATACCACAAAGGGAAGGCTGGGATTGAGTTTGGGGGTGATAAATCATAAGGGGGTTCAAAAAATTTGGGGGGGGGGATTTTTTTTTTTCTTTTTTTTTCTTTTTTTCCTTTTTTATTTCTTTTAAAATTTTCCATTTTAAGTTGGTTATTTCTGATTAATATTTAAAAGCAAATAATAATGATATGGTAGGAGATACACACCAAACAGGATGTGTAAATTATTATATAATAAGTATTGTGCAATAGCAAGAAATTTTCAATTGCACAGTATTGCACAATAGCAAGAAATCTTCAATTGCACAGTATTGCGCAATAGCAAGAAATCTTCAATTGCACAGTATTGCGCAATAGCAAGAAATATCCAATAGCACAATATTGCGCAATAGCGAGAAATTGTCAATTGTACAGTATTGCGCAATAGCAAGAAATATTCAATTGCACAGTATTGTGCAAAAGAAGATACTTCGTATAAATTGCTTATTTCTTGATCAATTTCAAGGGGGTTTTATTCTTGAATTCTTGGGGTTCTTTAATATGCTGAATCTAACCATGTATTAAGTTTTTGGATTTTGGGCCCCGTTTTTAAATTGGTCCACATTGAGGTCCAAAGGGTCCAAAATTTAACTTTGTTTGATTTCATCAAAAATTGAATTATTGGGGTTCTTTGATATGCCGAATCTAACCGTGTATTTAGATTCTTAATTTTTGGTTCCGTTTTCAAATTGGTCTACGTTAAGGTCCAAAGGGTCCAAAATGAAACTTAGTTTGATTTTAACAAAAATTGAATTTTTAGGGTTCTTTGATATGCTGAATCTAAACATGTATTTAGATTTTTGATTATGGGCCCAGTTTTCAAGTTGGTCCAAATCGGGGTCCAAAATTAAACTTTGTTTGATTTCAACAAAAATTGAATATATGGGTTCTTTGATATGCTGAATCTAACCATGTATTTAGATTTTTGATTTTTGGGCCCCGTTATCAACTTTGTCCACATTGAGGTCAAAAGGGTCCAAAATTAAACTTTGTTTGATTTCATCAAAAATTGAATTCTTGGGGTTCTTTGATATGCTGAATCTAACCATGTATTTAGATTTTGGATATTGGACCATAATAGGTGAATGTCCAATTTAAAATTTTTAAGTTCTTAGACCACATATATCTGTGTCAGAAACCTATGCTGTGTCAAATATTTAATCACAATCCAAATTCAGAGCTGTATCAAGCTTGAATGTTGTGTCCATACTTGCCCCAACTGTTCAGGGTTCGACCTCTGCGGTCGTATCAAGCTGCGCCCTGCGGAGCATTTTATTTAATCAGTTGAGACAAAGTCTGTAAACTCAGCTTATAATAATGTGAATGCTGTTCAGGCATCAGCATTGCAATTTCTGAACAAAATCTTTTGGCCAATATGGAGTTTCTTACCAAACTTGGCATGATAATTCTCCATGGGATGTGAAAAAACACCTAATGATTTTGATGTCAATATGTTAAAGATGGTCGCAGTCACATCAGCTATTGACTGAAATTCGGTCAAAATTTGGTTTTGAATTTTTTTTTTATTTAAAACCATATGTCCATATTTTAGGAAACTTGATTTGATAATCTTGACCTTTAATGACCAAGACCTCTAATGATTTTGAGGTCAGTAGTTCAAAGATCAAAGTCACAGCTCCTTTAAATTGACTAAAAGGTTTTGAAAAATTTCATTTCAGAACAATATCTTTTGAGCCATAAATCAGTTCATTACATTTTTTGGTGGATAGTGTGCCATTGGATGAATTAGTTCCTTTTTGGGTTATTAGGTCACTAGTTCAAAGGTCAAGGTTACATCAGCAATTAAATTAGACTGAAATTTTTGTTTTTATTTGCATCATTTGACGTAATTTGCCAGTAGACTCAGTTTATAGTCATCATTGTACTTGACATATTTTTCACATATATTCTTCTACAAATCCATTAAAGATAGAAACTCAACTTCTACCCCCATGACCTAAATAATAATTATACAGATAAATATAAAGAGACAGTGATGCCTTACAACAAGAAGCATCATTTTAATGTTATTATTCCCCTACCGACAAAGTCAAAGGGGACTTTAGGTTTGCACTCTGTCTGTCTGTCTGTCCCTTCCGTCAGTCTGGCTAATCAGTTTCAACACTTTTTTTCTTAGTGCTTGAAGATATTGATTTGATATTTGGAGTATTGTTTAAATATCATGACAAGTTACAGATCAAGTTTGAATTTTGTTCCAGTCTGATGATTTTGTGCAGAGTTATGGTCCTTGGACTTAGAAAATTCACTCAAATAATCAGTTTTCCGAACTTTTTTTCTAAGTGCTTGAAGATATTGATTTAATATTTGGTTTATTGTTTTATCATGACAAGTTACAGATCAAGTTTGAATTTTGTTCCAGTCTGATGATTTTGTGCAGAGTTATGGTCCTTGGACTTAGAAAATTCACTCAAATAATCAGTTTTCCACACTTTTTTCGGCATGCTTGAAGATATTGATTTGATAAATGGAATATAGATTTATCATGACAAGTTGCAGATCAAGTTGGAATTTTGTTCCGGTCTGATGATTTTGTGCAGAGTTAGAGTCCGTGGACTTAGAAAATTCACTTAAATAATCAGTTTTCCTCACTTTTTTTCGTCATGCTTGAAGACATTGACTTGATATTTGTTATATAGTTTACACCATGACAAGTTATAGATCAAGTTAGCATTTTGTTCCAATACAATGAATTTTTAACCGGTAGCATGGCAATACTCTCAGAATGCTTGTTCTGTTTTCTGTTACAGAATCTGATACAGATGTGGAGAGAAGTGAAGGGACAAGAGGACACAGCAGACAGGCAAGTCACTCGTCTGTTAACAGTTTTATCAGTTTTAGGGTAGGTTTGGCTTCTATCGAGAGTTGGATTCAACCATTGATGTTAAGTAAACTAACTTTTTTATTAACACTTTTTTAGCTGACTAAAGATTTCAAAGGAGCCAAACTTAATCCTGTTTAATGACAATGAAATTCAAGTTCATTTTTATTTTAAAACAGTAATTTTGTCAGCTTAAATTCTTTAAATGTTTATCCATATTAACTTAAATAAAGCAAGCATTCATACACTATGATTAATATTGTAGTGTTTCAAGCATGAATTCATATCACAATTTTGGAACGAATATAGGTCCCAGCCCAATCAAATCATTTTAAAATCATTTGAAATATTCAAAAATATATAGCTAAATCTACTGAGATTTTCCTTCCTAATGCATACAAAACTATATAAAAAAACTTCTTTATTTTATGGACACGGATCCCAAAAATGAAATTTCAAATTAACCACAAGTGGTCGACAATTTTCAACATTGGTAAATTTAAGCTTATAACAGTGACCTATTATAATAAATAATTGAGAAGACTTCTCCATTTGCTTAATTGACAGCCTTGTTTGTCCCCGGTATGACGCATTGCAGGGGACATAGAAATACCGGGCGTTCGTCTCTATGTGCTTCTGTTCGACATGCAGGTCTTGTTAGGGCTCTCATGTGTACAATTGTTGCCAGATTTTTTATCCAGCCATGCTGGATCTATGTGATCACTCTGTATTTGAAGATGGTGCAGAATTCAGTGTTGAAGACAAGTCATGAAGCTAATGATTTTTGTCTTACCTGCAGAAAGTTTATACACGATTTTTATCAATTTCTGCCAACTTTTGACTTATTATTTGACATTAAATTAAGAAAAGAGCAGTCTAAAAGACTCTAACAGCAACTTTATTTTAAATATACACTTGCAAATAGTTCCTTTCTAAATAAAAATTTACAAATTGTACTATTTATGAGTAAATGTGAAAAGGTAATATATATCAAATTTAATCAATTGATAAGAATTATAAAAGTATTTTATCAGTGTCTTATGCTTGTGTAAATATAAGTAATTGAATAAAATTTGGCACAAACTGTATTCATATCAAAGTGCATTTCCAAACACTTTTTATTCATCATCCAAACACTTTTGGTTTCCAGACAATAACTTGAGTATAAGTGTATGGATCTCTATGAAATTTGTACCACAAGGTTCTGTACCACAAAAGGAAGGTTGGGTTTATGGGTCAAACCATTTTGGAATTAGGGGCCAAAAACAAGCATTTGCCTTGTTCCAGTACAATAACTTGTGTATATAAGTGTATGGATCTCTATGAAATTGTACCAAAAGGTTCCATACCTCAAAATTTTTTAGACCCCATTTATTTTGTGTCAGAAACCTATGCTGTGTCAAATATTTAATCACAATCCCATTTCAGAGCTGTATCAAGCTTGAATGTTATATCCATACTTGCCCCAACTGTTCAAGGTTCAACCTCTTGGGTCTTATCAAGCTGCAACCTGCAAAGCATGTATTTCAAATAAGAGACTTGATACAATACCAGCATGATTGACAACTGTCAAGATTTACAAACAATAAATACTCTCAAAGGTGTGAGTAAAAATTTATAAGATGTATTTGTTTATTAAAGAAAAGACATAAAATAATTATGTACAAGAAAATGCAAGTAAGGTCTATTGTACCGGTACTTGTAATCATCTGATATTAGTCAATAATTTAGGTTTATTTAAGTAATTATTATAAGTTATTTACTTGAAACAATAAACAAAATTGCACAACTCTTACCATAGCATTTTTCTGCAATAAAATTTATTGTTTGTTTCCTATTATATTGCTATTTAAAAGAATAAGGCAGGGGCGGAACTTTTATTTTGGCCGAGCGGAGAGAGGCGAAATTTTTTTTGAGGTAAAATTATCGAAATATTCTTTATTAACCTGAGGACAACCCATGCTTTGCAAATTTTAGGGGGTTCCAACCATATGTCTCCATTCAAAAGCATTGATCGTCAAAAAAAAGGGGGTTCCAACCCCCGGAAACCCCCCACCCCCCTGGATCCGCCCCTGAAATAAAGTAAGATTATGGAAATGAAAGAACATTCATCTTCAGTGTCACATAATTTTTTTTATCAAAAAGCTGAGTTTATAAAAGATCCTAAAATGAGTGAGAAAATTTGAACACAGAAATGCTCCAAAAAACAACCACTTATAGCAAATTTTGGAGAAAAACCTGTTAAGTTTTTTTTTTATTCACCACCATACTAGAGAATATGATTTTAAATTATGCACTGAACCCTTCCAGTCTTTCCATCAAAGATTTCTGTTACTTCTATTGTCAGTTGCAGAAGAATCTTAGAAGATTAAGTACACTTTTTCTCAGAATTTCATGAGCTGAAAGGAGTGATTTTAAAATAGGAAAATAACTGATAATGTTTTTAGTGAAATAATACTCAAATGACTGTCTACTTTTCAATCCTAGTGCTGTATTATATAAGATTTTTCCCTTTGTATTGTCTCTCTAATTTTTTGTCTCGCCTGCGACTATAGTCGCAGTATGCGATACCTAGGTATTACTATCCGGCGGCAGCATAAACTATTTGTATAAAGCTTTATATTTCAGAAGGTAGAAGACCTGGATGCTTTATACCTTGTATGCAGATACCTTATGTTATGAAGTTTCTGTCTGTCATATTTCCATTGTCCTTGACCTCATTTTCATGGTTCATTGGTTAATGTTAAGTTTTTATACGACCGCAAAAAAATTTTTGTGGTCGTATATTGGTATGACGTTGGCTCCGGCGTCGTCGTCGTCGTCGCCGTCGTCGTCGTCGTCTGGCGTCGTCCGGCGTCGTCCGAAGACACATTGGTTTTCGCACTCTAACTTTAGTTTAAGTGAATGGATCTCTATGAAATTTTACCACAAGGTTCAATACCACAAAAGGAAGGTTGGGATTGTTTTTGGGGGTTATGGTACCAACAGTAAAGGAATTAGGGGCCAAAAAGGGGCCAAAAATAAGCATTTTTGTAACTTCCAGACATAACTTGTGTGTTAGTGTATGGATCTCTCTGACATTGTACCACAAGGTTCCATATCACAAAAGGAATGCTGGGATTGATTTTGGGGGTAATTGCCTCAAAATTTTAGGAATTAGGGGCCAAAAAAGGGGCAAAAAACAAGCATTTTTCTAGTTTCATAACAATAACTTGTGTGTAAGTGTATGGATCTTTCTGAAATTGTACTACAAGGTTCCATATCACAAAGGGAAAGCTGGAATTGAGTTTGGGGGGTAATTGCCGAAACATTTAGGAATTGGGGGCCAAAAAGGGGCCAAAAATAAGCATTTTTCTAGTTTCCAGACAATAACTTGTGTTCAAGTGTATGGATCTCTCTGAAATTGTACTGCGAGGTACCATACCACAAAGGGAAGGCTGGGATTGATGATGGGGGTAATTGCCTCAATATTTTAGGAATTAGGGGCCAAAAAGGGGCAAAAAACAAGCATTTTTCTAGTTTCAGGACAATAACTTGTGTGTAAGTGTATGGATCTTTCTGAAATTGTACTACAAGGTTCCATATCACAAAGGGAAAGCTGGGTTTGAGTTTGGGGGTAATTGCCCTAAACGTTTAGGAATTTGGGGCCAAAAAGGGGCCAAAAAACACATTTTTCTAGTTTCCAGACAATAACTTGTGTTCAAGTGTATGGATCTCTCTGAAATTGTACTGCAAGGTACCATACCACAAAGGGAAGGCTGGGATTGAGTTTGGGGGTGATGAATCATAAGGGGGTTCAAAATATTTGTGGGGGGGGGATTTTTTTTTTTTTCATTTTTTTTTTCTTTTAAAATTTTCCATTTTAAGTTGGTTATTTCTGATTTATATTTAAAAGCAAATAATAATGATATGGTAGGAGATACACACCAAACAGGATGTGTAAATTATTATATAATAAGTATTGTGCAATAGCAAGAAATTTTCAATTGCGCAGTATTGCACAATAGCAAGAAATCTTCAATTGCACAGTATTGCGCAATAGCAAGAAATCTTCAATTGCACAGTATTGCGCAATAGCAAGAAATATCCAATAGCACAATATTGCGCAATAGCAAGAAATTGTCAATTGTACAGTATTGCGCAATAGCAAGAAATATTTAATTGCACAGTATTGTGCAAAAGAAGATACTTCGTATAAATTGCTTATTTCTTGACCAATTTCAATGGGGTTTTATTCTTGAATTCTTGGGTTTCTTTAATATGCTGAATCTAACCGTGTATTTAGTTTTTGGATTTTGGGCCCTGTTTTTTTAATTGGTCCAAATTGAGGTCCAAAGGGTCCAAAATTAAACTTTGTTTGATTTCATCAAAAATTGAATTTTTGGGGTTCTTTGATATGCCGAATCTAACCATGTATTTAGATTCTTAATTTTTGGTTCCGTTTTCAAATTGGTCTACATTAAGGTCCAAAGGGTCCAAAATTAAACTTAGTTTGATTTTAACAAAAATTGAATTCTTAGGGTTCTTTGATATGCTGAATCTAAACATGTATTTAGATTTTTGATTATGGGCCCAGTTTTCAAGTTGGTCCAAATCGGGGTCCAAAATTAAACTTTGTTTGATTTCAACAAAAATTGAATATATGGGGTTCTTTGATATGCTGAATCTAACCATGTATTTAGATTTTTGATTTTTGGGCCGCGTTTTCAACTTTGTCCACATTGAGGTCAAAAGGGTCCAAAATTAAACTTTGTTTGATTTCATCAAAAATTGAATTCTTGGGGTTCTTTGATATGCTGAATCTAACCATGTATTTAGATTTTGGATATTGGACCATAATAGGTGAATGTCCAATTTAAAATTTTTAAGTTCTTAGACCACATTCATTCTGTGTCAGAAACCTATGCTGTGTCAAATATTTAATCACAATCCAAATGCAAAGCTGTATCAAGCTTGAATGTTGTGTCCATACTTGCCCCAACTGTTCAGGGTTCGACCTCTGTGGTCGTATCAAGCTGCGC